CTATATCCTTCCTCCTTCTATTAATCATCCTCCATACTTCTCTCTTTTATTCTCCAAGGTAATTTCAGAGAGATAAAACCTTGTCCTGTGTGTGTGTTTTTTGTTTGTTTGTGATACCTGTGTGCATATTTCTGCATATCCTTTTAGTGTGTGTGTTGATTGCTCAAATCTACAGAAACGCTCTCTGTTGTTTCCCCCCAAAAACCTGTCTGCGATTATAGCCTGAAGGTGTAACGGTGACAAAGAGGAAGACGAGGAGAGAAAGTGGGACAGACAGATAGAGGCAGGGATCAAGGTAAAAAAAAAAAGATGAAGTGATGCAGAAACCACAAACCACAAAGGCAAGCGTTAAAAAGGGGAAGTGAGGGTAGAGAGCAAGAGGGGCTGTAGTTTTGTTATGACAGGCCTCAGAGGTTTTGGTGTTGCAGGTGGAGATATAAGGAATAGCAGGTATTGCTTACCAGTGTTTCCCTTCGCTGAAATTCATTTTATAATAATATTTATTATTTGACTAGTCAGGACTTGAAATGGACAGATTTAAATAAATGGGAAGATTAATTAAAATTATACTGAATTGAAAACTGACACAAACAAATTCATAACGAAACCATGTGACTGCTAAGGTCTTCCGTCCTTTTTTCTGTCTCCATGGCACTCTCTGAAAATCAATTCCTAGAGAACACAGCGACATAGACAAAAAGCACACACACACACACACACACACACACACACACACACACAGGTAATCAATATGTGTGTGTGGAACCCTGGGTGTTGAGCCCTTGATCAGAGTGTGGGCTAATCAATGGTGATCACTAAGCACGCGTTTAGAAGACTTGGANGGTCTTCCGTCCTTTTTTCTGTCTCCATGGCACTCTCTGAAAATCAATTCCTAGAGAACACAGCGACATAGACAAAAAGCACACACACACACACACAGGTAATCAATATGTGTGTGTGGAACCCTGGGTGTTGAGCCCTTGATCAGAGTGTGGGCTAATCAATGGTGATCACTAAGCACGCGTTTAGAAGACTTGGAGGTGTGTGTGTGTGTGTGTGTGTGTGTGTGTGTGTGTGTGTGTGTGTGTGTGTGTGTGTGTGTGTGTGTGTGTGTGTGTGTGTGTGTGTGTGTGTGTGTGTTTGTTTTTCTGATAAATGTGCATATTGTGCGTCTGCTTGTGTGTGTGTGTGCTGAGCCGTCACACACTGGTAACCTTAGCCGAGGGAGTGCACTCATTGATAAAACCTGCAGAGGAGTCCATACTGTGTCAGGAGATTATCTGTGCAGTAGTGTAATCATTATGTCCAATTAATTACAATATCTTTCCCCTTTCCTTCTCTGCGTTCCTGGCTGAATCCATCTACTCCGATCAATGGCTACAAATCTCCCCGCTTCATCTACTACTCTCTTTATGCTAGCAGCATCATGTGGCTCTCCATCTTTCTCCTCCACCCTCTGTGCTTTTATCCCCCAGCTCACTCGATCATTGTATCCATTCATCTATGTTACTCCCTGTCTGCTCCTCGGCCCTTCTATCCTTCCATCCCTCCCACTCCATGTGCTCTGACAGCTCTGTCATTAGATGGCAGTAGCGGCAGTAAAGCAGTCACAATGATGGACTACTAGCTCCCTCGCCCTCTCTCTCCCACTCTCTCTCCCTCGATCTGCCCTTGCTATAACAGCTCTGACCCGTTTCTCGGTGAGGCATCTGCTCCACGCCAGTCCGCAGGTGGCACTGCACCGGTCACGGTAAAGGTCAGCGATGGAGCGACTCACCGGCTTCCCCGTTAGCCACCTCGTAAACCCGCGGCTGTTAAGTCCTGACCCGGCACACCTGTGGCCTCGGATCCTCTCTGGATACAAGCCACCGCCAGTAACAGTGGCAGGGGAGTTCCATAAATACACACACTCGCATTTTTGTATGACTATACTTGTGAGAACCCTTCCTATCTTTAAGGCACAACCTCAAACAAATCATTACTTAAACTTCATCACTTAAAATAATAGTTTAGCATTCCCCCTGCTTCTTATCTTTACGCTAAGGTAGGCTGTTCTGACTCCATTTCTGTAATACATCAATTTGGGAAATGCGTATATGCTTTTCTTGCAGAGCGTTAGAGGAGATGTGCATATCACTCTCGTCTGTATGCTAAATATGTAGCAAGAGCCAGCAGGCAATTACCTTAGCATGAAAACTAGACGCAGGGGGTAAACAGTTAGCTGACTCCGTCCAAAGGTAAAATAAACTGCCTGCAAGCACCACTTAAACTCACAAGTGTGTTATCTTTCTTGTTTAATCCCTTAAATTAAAGGTTAAGGAATATGTCCCAGAGTACTAGACTATAGATTTAAATAATACAGATATATAAAAGTACAAATATTCTCTTCTAACTCCCAGAAAGAAAACTAATAATTATAATTATAACAATCTATTCCAGTCATAAAAGGACAACCTTTACCCTTCTCATTTTGGGCAGGACATTTGTTTCTCATGTATTTAACACACACTTACCTGCACACACAAAAAAGAAGAAAAACGCCCACAGTGACACACTTTTCCACCAGACATTCCGTAAACTAACAGGTGCAGGGGGTAATGGGGTCTTTGCTGGTATCACAGTAGCATACAACTATGATTTATGGACTGCAGTCAGCCCCCTTCCTCCCTGCCTGTTCCCTCTGGTCGTCCTGTCAGGTTGGCAACAGGGAAACGCAATGCTGGTTATGTAGTGCATTGTGCGGTATGTGAGTTTGTTTGTTCTGCTCCTCTGGCGGTGGACAACACACACACACACACACACACACACACACACACACACACACACACACACACACACACACACACACACACACACACACACACACACACACACACACACACACACACACACACACACATACAGGCAGCAGTGGGGTGGTAAAAAACGGTTTCTTCACAGCTGTGTGTATGCAGGGATATCAGTTGGCAGGTCTTGTGTCTCACACTTGGAGTGCTTGTCAAATACTCGGCTATCATGACGGACACTCACCTCTGCTCTTGTGCGTTAAGTCGCTGTGAACTGACATGAACCCCCTTTGGAATGAGCTAGCAGTGTGTGTGAGCTCACTTATATTTTGTATAGCAAGTGTGTGTGTGTTGTCAGTCACCTCTCTCCTGAAACATTATTCCAGCCGCAAAAAATAGTCCAGCTCTAATTGCCTTCGTCTTCCTTTGCCTCCACTAATCAAATTAGACTACAGAGAATTCTAATTAAACTCTGCCTGCATCTGATGACACTGGGTTCAAACACACACAAACTTTCGAGGATCCACATCACTACACGTTGACTAATGTGCATGTTGTCGGTTTTATTTTCCACTTATGTGCAACCAGATGAGTAGCGGTTTAACATTAGAGTGCAAAGAGGTGACTGGTTTATAAGCTTCCGAGGAGCTGACCACCACAATGACTAAAGTGCATTAAGAATGGGTGTGGAGGTAATGGTGCTCTCTTTGAGTTGGTTTGTATCTTCGATTTTATAATATAGTAGTGCATTCATAGGAAACAATGGTTTATCTAAATTGAGTTAATGTGTATGTGTGTGTATGAGGGAAAAAAAGGAAAACAAATGTGAAGGAGCGAGAAAGGGTATATGAGGTAGATGGATGTTTATTTGATCTATTAAAGTTACTTTATATTGTTTTTGTTTATATCTGGGTTTTTTGTGAAAGAGGAATATTTGTTTACAGTGAGTCTTTAGCAAGTTACAGAAAGCTTTGGCAATGTTCACACAGACAGACAGAGGATCCTTCACTATCACTTTTTAATATACATGTAGAACACACACACACACATATACACACACACGCGTGTGCGCACACACACACACACCACATGTCATTGATCCTAAAATCTTCCCTGCACTTTTAACGGCACCGCATGGTGGGTAAAGAATCGAGGGTGCTCGATTCTTTACCCACCATGCGGTGCCGTTAAAAGTGCAGGGAAGATTTTAGGATCAATGACATGTGGTGTGTGTGTGTGTGCGCACACGCGTGTGTGTNACTGCGAGAAAGAAAGGAAAGCAGATGGATGTCTCAAGAGTCTTTCCAAATCAAGCCTGGCAGGAACGCACTGTGCAGGACCAGCAAATGATCTAGGCCTCCCTGTTTGTGTTTGCATGTGTGTGTGTGTGTGTGTATGTGTATGTGTATGTGTATGTGTGTGTATGTGTATGTGTATGTGTATGTGTGTGTGTGTGTGTGTGTGTGTGTGTGTGTGTGTGTGTGTGTGTGTGTGTGTGTGTGTGTGTGTGTGTGTGTGTGTGTGTGTGTGTGTGTGTGTGTGTGTGTGTGTGGGCGAATGTGTGTGTTATCTTCAATCTGCAGCCTGTGAGCTGTGATTCAGCAATTATCCAGCAGGGTTGCTGATACTGGATGTGTGTATCTCTCCTGTCCTACCAGTACAGCATTAGCCTCACTTCTAGATCGCACACAGCAACCCAAATACAGGCACAGTAACAAAGGAGGGTAAGCTGGGGGCTTATGCTGTGCAAGGTTGAGAGGATTAGCCGAGAATTAGCCTTTGTGTATCTTAGCCGTCCCACTCGCTGCCTGTTTCAAACCGCTGCCCATTTGAAATGAAACAGCATCAGGACATCATCTCTTTCATCATCAGGACCCCACTTTACTCCCTACATCAACACCTAAACATAGATGCCTGTTTGCCGTCAGACCTGGAAGGCAGCATGGACAGAAATAAATTAGACATGATGTTTCTAACGGGGTCTATTTTTTTTAAAGCAAACTTCTAAAGCCTGCCAGCTTCTGAGGCTTCAGAACGCAGACACAACTGTCCCTTTAAAGCTAGCCCAGACAGACAGCTAAACATCACAAAAATAGTGTTGGCAATGAACACATGCATTGTGTGTCCTGCACAGTGCGTTCCTGCCAGGCTTTCTGGTGTCACAGAGAACCCAGAACTGCTTTTCTCCATCAGATAACGAGGGCAAAACAAGTGTTGTAGTGTTGTGTAAATAACTACTGCTAGGCCTGAAAACTGTAAGAGGGTTTAAACACTGGGATTGTTGTCTCACCTGTGTGAGTCTGTCCTGTGGTCTAGTACATCTCCGGGCCGTCCTATGTCCAGGTGCTGCTCCAGAACCTGCTGGCGGAATTCAGACACCTGGTACTGACGGTCCTCCTTCTCCTGCCGCAGCTTACGTTGCCGTGCCAGCCACCTCTCCTCCTCATTGGCTCTCTGAGCTAACATTGAGGCTGAGAGCGCTGTCCCCACAGCGCCGGCCCCCAGGAAGAGGCCGTGGCCTGGGATCAGACCTGGGATGGGATGATGTGATTGGACCATTGAAGGGTGGAGTCCTGGTGGGACAGGTTTGGGACCTGGAGGGGCGAGCTCTTTGGTTTTATCTGTGGTAGTTGGAAAGGACAGTGTGAACATTTTGATATTAGGGCTTCAACAAATGATAACATTAATTGGAAAATTATTTTAGCAGTAGTTTAGTATATTAAATGTCAGAAACGGCATGGTCATTGTGTGGGGGACATTGCTTGTTTGGTCTTAACAAAACACCTAAAATGTTTTTTTGAGTGACCACAGTAAAAAGAAAAAGGGAGAGAAAGGACTTGTTCAGCAAATAACTCCTGACTGACAAGTAACTCATTGTCATTAAGTGTTTACTGTGAAAAACATAATTATGGAATAGTTCATTAAAAGACTCCATCTCATATACAGTGTTTTGCAGGGACCAGTGTTTGTAATCAGTATGATTGTAGCTTAAGGGAGCTACAGTGAGACACATACCAGCCCGGTTAGGGGTGAGTCTCTCGGGCTTGGTCCGGTCCTCCTGCCCCCTCATGGCGTGGAGCTCGGCCAGGTAGTGGCTCTCCATGGCCTTGGAGGCCTGCAGCTCCTTCTCCCTCAGCGCTCTCTCGTTCTGCCTCTCCATTTCCTTCTCTCTTTCTCTCTCCCTCTCCCTGTCTCTCTCACGCTCTCTTTCTCGCTCCCGTTCTCTCTCCCTCTCCAGCTCCTTTTCCCGTTCTCTCTCCCTTTCTCGCTCTCTCTCCCGTTCTTTTTCTCTTTCCGCCTCACGCTCTCTCTCTTTTTCGCGTTCTCGGTCTCGCTCCCGCTCCCTCTCTCTCTGCCGTAGCTCATCCTCCAGCTGATGCCTAAAAAACAAAAGGGGACAGGAAGTCAGTCACATGAGGAAATAAATCACGGCACACTGTGGAGATCTACTGCATGCGTGCACTACTGATTGTACATGTCCTTGGATTAAGGAGACTTTACCTCTCAGACTGCAGTGCCGACAGAGAGGGGTGAGTGAAGTCTCCAGGATAGCGCACTCCTTGGAGGTGCATGTGAACGGAGGGATGCATGGGAGGGAGAGCTCCCCCTCCTGGCAGCTGATAGAAAGGTGACCTCATAGCAGAGAGACAGAACGGGTCGTCCATCCTGGGATAAAAAGAGGAAGAGAAGTAGTCAGTCCCTTTGTGCGACATTCACTATCATTAACCTGTGCGCTTCTCCCAAAGAAGCGACATCACAGGGTCTTCCATCTTTGAAGAAAAGCAGCAGCGTCTGTCAGCTAACCTCAATCACCACACAGCAGCCAGCGAGAGACTTGGCTGTGTGTTTTTGTGTATGTGTGTGACAGCCACTGCTCATCCCCTCATTAAATCCATTACAGCGCAGTGTGTGATGGGTGCTGCAGTGCTCTGATCTCCCTGGTTGACAGACCAGGGGCACGCAGCCTGTGAGATGGCCCAGAGCAAGCAGGGTCCTTCGCAGCACACAGAGTATACACGATCATACGTAGGAAACATTACAAATCAATGTATTTTCAAACAAACATCTCACATACATTTTCTGCTGCTGGTGTTTTCTGTGTATGACCACTGGGTTGTCACTCCGATAAAGAACTCTATAAATCAATAAGCAAAGATCCTGAAACAAAACTAATTTCCTTTTTTCTTTTTCTTTTCAGTTGTGAGCAGGAAACGTCTCATCTCAGATGTATAAACACTTCCAGGAATCATTTATGGTAATCTCCCACAAAGCATGCATGAAAAAGCTCCAGATATATGGGATTAAGTGGCAAAACCAGCAGCCGCTCTCTTATGGCTGTTCATATTTTATTCATACGCATAACCAAGCTCGGGTTAAGACTAGGGAAATGGGTCCTGCTATTCACTGCCTTGGTGTAAGAAGCTTAGAAATAAATAAAACTGCTTCATTAATAAATCAATACTGTGTTTTGTTTGCCTTATACTGCAACATATATTAGATGAAATCTGTCCAATAGGTAGATTGCCTCTGTAATTTAGCAATCAATATAGCATTATTAAAGCAGCTTCGAAGGTTGTAAATGACAACACTGCAGCCTTTGGCAATAAACAGTGATGTAAATGTATGTTTTAATCAGTCTCTTAAAAGCTTTTTGACACAGCTGACCAGGATATCTTCAAACAAAGGCCTCTTGGCAGCAGCTTTTCAGATGATGATATAATAAAAAACATAAGTACAGTCCTCAGTGCATCCGATATGATCAACGCTGCACTTATGTGTTTTTCTTGTTAAAAGTGATTCTCTGCCAACTTGTTTTCCTGACTTCCTTCCTGACCATGAGTTTGGTTGTTGTTTTATGCGTTATTTTTATTTGGTTACCTTGAACCTGTTTTTCTTTATTTGTACTGCCATCTGTGAAAGTCACATCTCTTTTCAACTCCAAATGAAATCTCTTACCCAGTCAAATAAACATACACATTAAAACAACAATATTTGTACCTCTGGGAACATTTGTTCAAGGTCAGCTTTACACAAATGCATTTACTGCTGAGTATAAGCATTACTAATACTTCGCTCCTTTATATGCACTGGCTTGCAACATTTGCTCTCAGAGGAAATAGGTGCTTAGTCAACAAATGAATGGAGAGGCTTACCTGTATGGCGTGAAAGAGGGGTGGGGCAGGTAGCTGGGGTGGTAGTAGGCAGCTGCGGCGGCTGCAGTGGCGGGGTCCAGGCCCATGGGCAAAGAGGGCATGCGGAGGGCATCCTCAGCCGTGGCATAGGGCCGGAAACCACGGAGGTACTCTTCTGGTACATGACCAGGGGGCACTGCGTTAGACATCTGTCTGCCCATACTAAAGTTAGGAGAGGGGGGTGGGGGCACAACACAGAAAAAGTGATGGTTAGTTTGACTTGTTTGTGTCTACTGTTGTTCACATATACTCACACTCATCCCACCAACGCCAACAAAACAAATGTTTGTAATTTGTTGCGGCTACTTATTTGAGTGAGTTTAATATACCCATGAATAATTGATCATGCACTTATCACAAAGCAAAGAGAAACCTTGTAAACTCCTTAAATCTAGAGACACAGGCAGAGCAGTGTGTGACTCACTTGAGGGGCTGGAACCGTGAATCCTGCATGACCGCACCAGGGCTGAGACCAAAGCCATAGGGGTTTCCCAGGAGGTGGGCAGGGACTGAAGGGCCACCCTTTTCCTGTGGGTGGTTCCCCTCTGCACCCAAACGCTCCCTGCTGGCCCCGCGAGGCACCGAGTCAGCCTGGAGAGAGATAAAGAGAGCGAGAGTCTCAGTCATTGTTTGAGTAGACCTGTGACCGTCACGCTTGTCAATGCTCATGAAGCCCATCCTGTGAGAGGGGAGAAAGGGGAAGAATAGGCCTGTGTGTGATGCAGCAGCCTCCCTCACTCTCTCTTCCTACCTCAGGCACCTTTATTCACTTTCCCACAAAAAAACCCTCCCTATAAAAATAGTCGGATCGACATTTCTCTGTCAGGAATCCATGATAAAAACGGAGAAAGCAGGCAAGGTGATGAAAAAAAACATCGGAGCTGTTTTTCTCTAATTGTAAACACGAGATGTCCTACTTGTGATTGATGATGATTAGGTAATGGTAGACGTACTAAGCACACTTTGATCTTGGCAAAGTGTGTGGGAGCCTGTTAATGTGCGCACATAACTTAAACACTAGCATCTACACGCAGACAACAAAGTCCAAAATGCAACAACCCTCTGCCTCTGTTTCTCTTACTCTTTCACCTCCCTCTCTTGCCTTTGGCAGCAAGCCTGGTCTCACTTATCCAATCACACACACACACACACACACACACACACACACACACACACACACACACACACACACTTTCAGAGCTACAAAGACATCCTGCTGTGGGAGTGGGAGTGCGTTTACTGAAGCTTTGGTTTCCCTCTGCCTACAAATGCAACCGCCTAGCAGAGAAACTTGTAAGTTGTATAAGGAAATTGTTCATGGAGGGATATAAAGACATGGAGGATTTTTGCGAATACTCATCTCCCATAAAAAGCAATATCAACTTGAAGGGAACTACTAGAAAGACTGGAACAAAAGGGAAAAGGAAATATAGAGATAAAGACATTAAGTAGATAAGTGAGATCAAGGCGGTTCTTTCCTAAATAAATTAACCTCTGGGGTCCCAAGGATTAGTGAGAGACCTTAGACTGACTGTCCTCCCTCTTACTGCCTCGGATCAAATAAATCCAATTTACGGAGCCATTATCCCCACGTCGTGTTCCGCAGCCACTGACCCCGACTGACACTGATGCACTAACATCCAATCTTAAACGCCCCTTATGTTTAGACTCCCCAAACCCCCCTTTGTTTCTTAGACAGCCCCCACGTCGCAGCAGTTTAATGCTATTGTTTTCTCCTTGTTGCTTGTTGCGCTTCACTTCACTTGTCCCCGTAAATCCCCTGCGCCACTTCCATCCTTTCAAAGGAGCACAGGGAGAAGGTGGACGCTCCCATCCAATCAGCAGCCAACTGGAAAAGAGGTTCATCCATGTCAAAAGAAGTCAATATCAGCCTGTGGTAGGAGAGTTGCAGAAGCCAAGCTCCGTTTGCTCCTTCTCTTCCACAAAGTGTCTTTTTTTCTTTATCTGCCTTGAAGTCCAACGCTACACAACAGCAGATTGGTGGCTGTCTGGAAGTTAAGATTTGTTAACTAACACTTCCTGACTTATTACAGAGTAGATATAGTATGTATTACTTGTCAGTGATATGCCTGTAGAAACAGGATGAGCTGCTTTTTGCCACACTGTCAGTAAATAAATTGCTATAATCACAATGATGAAACCTTTGCTAACGAAGTGATCAGTGTTTAGCAAAGCTGTCATTGCTCGACTAACATCACAGATGCTACAGGTTTTTGTATCACTTTATGTTTGTTTGTTTCATTATGTGTGAGGGGAGACCCCAATTTACACCTTTGCCGCAATTTGTGCAACAATTTAAGCCCTAATCAAGCTGCTGCATCTGAAAAGAACCAAATAAGAGAATACATGTTATATTCAATCAGAATAACGCTCCATTGTACTTTGATGGCATAAACAACACGAGAAAATTATTTCCAAATCAAATCATGCCTGTTTAAAATCTAATTATATGTGTTGCTGATATCTTGTGTTTTATGGTGACCAGAAGTTGGTGTGAATCATATGTGGATTGAACCCGTGTTTAATATCCTGCATCACTCACATTGGCGTGTGACAGGGGCATGGTTCCATTATAATGGCCGAGACTCAGTCACTGTCCATTTGTGCAATTGCCAGACACAAATTACCACTCAAATTGAATCAACTGTTCCTTTCTGACCAATTTCACAGGAATCCCAGCATAAGAGGATGGAAAAACGATCCCCGTGTAAAACAACAAAGCCTGCTGAAACTTCACAATGGTTGGCTTCTTCTATTATAATGTCATTGAAAACAAAAAACCTTTAATCAAATCATGTCATGTATAAACCTGTTTGTAAATCAGAGTGTGTACATGGCTGCCATGCTGCTATTCTTTATGAGCTTGTGTGTGTGTGTGGATTCAAGCTAGTGGAAACATATGAAAAAGGTGTGGGTGTTACAGGTCAGCACTTTGAAAAGCACATACACCACAAAGATAGAACCTTCCATCCCCATTAGAGA